ATTGCTGGTTTACGTTTATTTCACGATAAGAGGAACAACTTGAAAAACCAAATGTTTGCATGTGAGAATTCGCGATATATATATATATATATATATATATATATATATATATGGTTGGTGTATACAAGAGGAGAGATGATCGATAATACGCACGGCATGTGCATACAACGTGATATCACGGAGGCGAACCAGACGAGAATTTTTTTACCAAAAAAACAAACGAATAATCCTACGCGAGATCCTACAAAAACAGTATTATGTACGTAACGTTGATCTTATACAGCCATCCTTAAAATTGTACACGGATGACCGTAGAAGACGATAAAAAGATTCTTCGTTTGGTTACGAAGGCTAATGGCTAACTTTATTTTTTCCCTTTACGTTGTAGATCGCCTCGCGAAAACAGCTTATTACGATCGTTTGCTGCTTTTAGGCATTTTCTTAGCATTCCTTCCTTGGAAACCAATTGTTAACAACTTTGCTGTGATTTATCAATATTTACAAAGAAAAGCCGCGCAACGAGAGGAAAGGCAGTATCCTGTTTTATCTGCAGAGCGTTTCAATTCATGAACATATAGTGCAAGCGCTGCCCGTGTATATACAACGTACGTCATTAATGCTATCCATTGATTCGCTCGAATTTCTTTCCAACAGCGCCCATCTACTTAAACTACATACCTAAACATTACGATCGTCACATTTTTGTACGATCTTTTTGATATTCAAGCTGATATACAGACCATTTTTTACAATATCTTTTTTATACCAGATTCCATTTGTGGCCATTGAGTGGCCGAGAATCAACTATTAACCAAACGCACAAAAGTACTTTTCTTACTAGTTCATGAACAACCATCGTCAATTTACGGATACGCTATCGTTGACTAATCGAACTTTTATTGGATGTGATAATCGTAATCAATGGACCAGATCAAACATCCAGTGTACCTTAAGATGTCGGGTGGATACTCGTTGAACTTTCGATTGATTTTTAACGAAATTCAGTTTGTCCGTAGATTGTTGAATTACACATAATGTAGCCAAATTCTCGATAATTGTTGTTATTGGCAAAAGGAAAGATGAGCTTATGATTAATCTCTGGTTAGAAAAAAAAACGTGTGTATCATGCGCCAATTTCATCTAATGAAAATTATT